TCCCAACCTCTACTGCTCTGACCCACTAGACTCCAGTCCCCTCCCAGAGCTAAGAAGAGACCCAGGGTTCTGGGCTCCCACCCCCTCCTGCTCTAACACATTAGACCCCACTTCCCTCCCAGGGCTAGGGTTAGAACCCAGGAGTCCTGGCTGCTAGCCCCCTGCCTCTTCCCTCCCAGAGCTGGGGATAGACCCCAGGAGTCCTGACTCCCAGCCCCCACTTCTCTAACCCACTCAAGTCAACTCCCTTCCCATCCCATCCCTAGCTAACACTGTCTATCCATTGGGATTCTGCTGGGATTGGTTCATCGCAGTATCAAGGCCTGGGGCAGACTGGCTGCTCCTGCTCCACCAGCCTCCGCTGGCCACCCTGGATCCACCCACTGTTTACACATGAAGGTGCAGAGTCACTGTCACTCCGGAGAAGAGGCTGGAAGGAGCTGAAAGAGGAGTGGCGCTGACAGCACCCTGACAAAGTAAGATGCATCCCCTTCTTCCCCTGGGGCAGGGACCAGGGCTGCTTCTCTGCTGCTGAATGGCATGGAGAGCCGAGCAGGGGACAGTGGGAGAACCTCATCCCATGGTCTAGTCAGACCCTCTGCTAGGGTGACCAGATGTCCCGATTTTATAGGGACAGTCCCAATTTTTGGGTCTTTTTCTTATATAGGCTCCTATTACCCCCCACCCCCTGTCCCGATTTTTCACACTTGCTGTCTGGTCACCCTACCCTCTGCAGGGGTTGCTCCGAGCCCCCCAGGGACTACAACCTAGGTGGCTAGAGTGAGGGGGATCAGGACTCCTGGGTTCTATCCCCAGCTCTGGGAGGGGAGTGAGGTCTAGTGGGCTAAAGCGGGGTGGCTGGGAGTCAGGGCTCTTGGGTTCTATTCTCTTGTCTAGGAGGAGAGTGGGGTCTAGAGGTTAGAGCCAGGAATCAGGACACCTGGGTTCTATTCCTAGATTGTCTGTGTGACCTTGGGCCAGTGGTGTCCCAGTTTTGTAACACCCAGCCCACCTTGCTCTAACCACAAGATCCCGCTCAGACCTGGGGAGGGAACCCAGGATCCAGAGGTTCAGCCACACCTGCTCTAACCTCCTAGACCCCACTCAGCGCTACGGCTGGAACCAGGAGTCCTGACTCCCTGTCTTGTGACTTAGCCCCAACTGCATCTATCCCTTCAGCCAACGCAGCCCTCCACTCTGGTGGGGAGGCCTCGTTCATTATCATCTGCCAAGGGCTTTGAGAGTTGGTGGCAGTGATGGGTGGGCTATGGTGGTGGATCACCATTTGCCCCTGCATTTCTGCTTCAGGGCCGGTAATCCCTGGGACCTGTCTTCGCTGCGGGCGGCACAATCTGGGAGACGTCATGCGGATGCTGAGAACCGTTCCAACTCACGCCACTTGTAGTTAAAGTCATGGCCCCTCCCTCATCCATTTCCCCCTTTTGAACAGCTGGTTGGGAATGAGGCATGGGCAGGAAGCGGGACAGGACTCCCTGGTTTAGCTCTCTGGAGGAGTTTGATGTGGCACTGTTTGTGGACGGTTGTAAGGAGGCAAACCTCTAAGCCCTGAGCATTATCTGTTCAAAGTCCACGTTTGCAGGGCCCTAGCGCCGGCAGCAGTAACTCCAACCCCTGCAGTTAGGGTTGCCAATTTTGGTTGGATGTATTCCTGGAGATTTTCACACAACGTTTATCTTAAATTCAAGATCGATCTTTACTTCCTGGAGACTCCAGGACAATCCTGGAGGGTTGGCCACCCTCCCTGTGGTCTTTCTTGAGCACAGCTAGTGCCTGCTAGAGGGGAAAGGCCCCATCTCCCACTCCATGCCCCACTGAGCCAAGCATTCCCCCTGCCCTGGGGCTGGATCGGAGACAACGCCCCCTAGCGGGAATTCATGGATTCCAAGGCCAGATGATACCACTGTGAGCATTTCATCCGCCCTCCTGTGTCACACAACCCAGAGAACTGCCCCCAAATAATTCCTAGAGCAGATCTTTTAGAAAAACATCCCGTCTTGATATAAAAATGGTCAGTGATGGAGAATCCGCCGCCACCTTTGGTAAATTGCTCCAGTGGTTAATTCCGCTCACCGTTATACATTTACACCTTATTTCCACTTGGATTTTGTCTCACTTCAGCTTCCAGCCATTGGAGCATATTAGACCTTTCTCTGCCAGACTGAGGAGCTCGTGATTAAATCTTTGTTCCCCATGTAGGCAGTTATGGACTGTGATGAAGTCACCCCTTCACCTTCTCTTTGGTAAAGGAGATAGATGGAGCTCTTTGAGTCTATCACTATCAGGCAGGCTTTCTAATCCTTTAATCCCTCTTACGGCTCTTCTCTGACCCCTCTCCAATTGACCAACATCCTTCTTGCCTTGTGGACACCAGAACTGGACACAGGATTCCAGCAGCGGTCACACTAATGCCAAATCGAGAGGTAAAATAACATCTCTGCTCCTACTCGAGATTCCTGTTTATCGCACTGGGAGCTCATGTTGAACTGATTATCTGTCACAACCCCCAAATTTTTTTCACAGTCACTGCTTCCCAGGATAGAGTCCTCCCCCGTCCTGTAACTATGGCCTACGTTCTTTTTTCCTAGATGCATATGTAACCCTTCTGCCAGGGGGGGCACCAGGGTCCTGGGAGGGACACGGGGGCCAGTGCAAAGGACAAGGTGGATCACCAGCCTGCAGAAGGCGCTCCGGGCTGGACAGAGCTGATTCCCCAGACGACCAGACGAGGCGCCGCAGGGGTGAGTCCGACCCCTTACACAGACAATGACTTATTTATACTGCTCTATAGACTATACACTGAAATATAGTACAATGGGGGAGGGATAGCTCAGTGGTTTGAGCATTGGCCTGCTAAACCCAGGGTTGTGAGCTCAATCCTTGAGGGGGCCATTTAGGGATCTGGGGTAAAAATCTGTCTGGGGATTGGTCCTGCTTTGAGCAGGGGGTTGGACTAGATGACCTCCTGAGGTCCCTTCCAACCCTGATATTCTATGAATGTTTATATTCCAGTTGATTTACTTAATAATTATATGGTAAAAACAGGAAAGTCAGCACTTTTTCAGTAACAGTGGCTGTGACACTTCTGTGTTTTTAACTCTGATTCTGTGAGCAAGTCATTTTTAAGTGAGGTGACACTTGGGGTACGCCAGACAAATCAGCCTCCTGGAAGGGGGACAGTAGCCTGGAAAGGCTGAGAACCGCTGTAAAGTGAGGGGAATTTGGGTAGGAATTCAGTGTCTACTCCACTCACATAACTCACACAGACCAATGCCACCTCAAGCAGGGCACGCACACACTGGAGAACAGAGATGGGTAGGAAACCGTTTTCCCATTTCATGACATTTTTTTCGATTTTGAAACTTTCTCCCATCTGGAAGCAGGACAATAAGTTGAACCCTTGAAAATTGGCACAAAACAAACCAACAAGCGGCAAGGGAACTGGGGCTTCCATGGACATTTCCAGGAGAGATGTGTATCAGTGTTGGCGGGGCCAGACTGGAGCTATCAATATCACCAAAGCGTGTTCCCTCCGTATCTTGAGAAGCACCTTGTGAACGAGAGAGATGGCGGGGAACGCGTAGAGAAGGCGGCCTCCCCATGGGAGGAGGAACGCATCTGCGATGGAGCTTGAGCTGTGATTCAGGAAGGAGCAAAACTGCTGGCACTTCTGCCTGAGCCCACCTTTGGCTTTCGTTATTAGGAAATACCAGGAATAGAAGCCCTTGCTCTTCAGCTCCTGAGGTACATCTTTCACTGCCCCCAAGCAATAGGAGCGAGTGCGGGAGCTGCTCGTGAGAAGGGTTCCTAAAGAGGGATGAGGAAGTGGGGTGGAAGGGCGGGAGGGCAGAGAATTGGAAGGAGTATCCCCTCTCTACCATGCAGAGCACCCAGCGGTCTGACATGATACGGGCCCATGCAGGGTAGAAAGGGGATAGTCGGGAGGAGAAGGTAAGGCAGGTTGGATCCAGTCCAAGTGCTGGTGCACTGTCCTTGTTTGCCCCTTCAAAAGGCCTGCTTCTGTCCGGATGAAAGTTTGGACAGTCCAGAGCCCTGGCCTGAGGATGGGTGCGGCCTCTTCCTGCCGCTCCTGTTTCTCCTCCGTGAGCCGTCCTGCCGGTTCTGTGGTTGGTAGAACCACGGAGGAGGTTGCGGCCTAACATGCCTCTGCTGTGTGGCGGGAGTGTGGAGGCCCAGCGATTTGAGGGTGGCTCACAAGACTTTTAAGCTATGTAGCCTTTTATCCGATTTTTCAGAAAATCGAGTCCCACACCCTCAAAGGGGAGATGCGGAATGGTCTGCTGGACCTCGTATGGCAGACCTGATACCTGGAGCCAGGAGCTCCTTCTCATGGCAATCCCAGTAGACATCAGCCGAGTGGACAGATCAGCCCCATCCAGAGCGGCCTGCAAAGAAGCTCGGGAAATGAGCTTGCCCTCCTCCACCAGGGCCAAGAATCGGCACAGGAGTCCTGCGGCACCAGCTCTGCTTTGGGGAAGGGGCCTTGGTAGCTCTGGCGCTCGCGTTGGTTAGCAGCATCCATGACCAAGGAATCTGGTGGAGGATGGGTATACAAGTGCTCATAGCCCCTGGACGGCACTAAATAGCATCTTTCATTGCGTTTAGACGTAGGGGGCAACGAAGCCGGGGTCTGCCATAAGGTTTTTGTGGTGTCGGCAATGGTCTTTATGAGGGGTAGGGCAATACGTGCCGGTCAGGAGCGGGCGAGGATGTCCACCATTGGATCTGCGTCCTCCACTACCTCCTCCGCCTGAATGCCCAGGCCCTGGGAAACCCTCCTCAGCAATTGCTGTAGGACCCTGTTGTCCTCCAGGACCAGGGCTACCAAAGTGCCTGCCAGCGCTTCATCTGGAGAGGAGGAGGAAGAGACCGCCGCAAGGGGTGGCTGCTCTCTTCCCTCTATGCCCAAGGGGTCCCGCAGTGCTTGGGTATCCGGGGCTGGAGCTGACGTGGATGGTGCCATGGCCCTCGGTGCCGGAGCTGTATACATCGTTGCAGAGGCCGCCGCTGGCGAAGTTGTTGAAGCCAGAACCAATGGTGTTGGAGCTGTCAGTGCCGAGGACATCAGCGCTGTTACCTCTGGGACTGGCGTAGCTGCCGCCGGTGCCACAGGGGTTGCGATGGTGGCAACAGAGAGCAATGGAGCCACCCCCGATCCTGCCAATGCCGACAATGCCGGAAGCGGTACGAAAGTGGCCGAGGCTACCGCTGCCACCCTGGAATGCAACCCGTGGTTCCGCCCTTGGCCTTGGTGAAGGCCCAGGGAGTCCAAAAGCCATTTATGCTGGGGGCTGCCACTGCGCGGGCCACGGTGCCGGTCTTGTGGTGATCTGGACCGTCTATTTCTGCTCCAATGAGATCGATAGGAGTCTGACTCCAAGGTCTCCAAAAAGGAGGACGAGGGAGGAGTGGTACTGCGAGGTGCCGAGGGCCCACACTGAGGGCTTGGGGACCAATGAGGCTACTGACCCTGTTCTGGCTCAGGGGAGCGGTGCACCGGGGATGGAGACTGCGAGGCCATCATTGTGGGCTTTCCCCTTGACGGTGCCGGGGAAGCGACTGGTGCCGGCGACCTCTCCCGGCTAGGTGGGGGGAACGGTGCCGTGAGCTGGAGCAGACCCCGTGCGACCTCAAACACCTCCAGGGTCGACAGGAGGTGTAGCTGTCGGCTCGGCCTGGGCGAGCGAGAAGGGTCCGGACTCGACCACAGGGGCAGGAGTCAACGCAACCATCTCTGGCAGTGGGGCTGAAGTCATAGGCACCAACTTTCCCTGGTGCCAGTGGGTGCTCGCGCCTCGCCACCTCCGACCCCGTCCCACCCCCATTCCAACCCCTTCCCCAAAGTCCCCACCCCAACTCTGCCCCCTCCCTGCCCCTATTGGACCTATTGGGTGGCAGGGGATGGATCACTTGATGGGCGCCCGTGCTGTTCATTCCCTCTGGGGCACCTGGCACTGGCCACTGTCAGAAGACAGGACACCAGGCTAGATGGACCTTTGGTTTGACTCAGTATGGCCGTTCTTATGTACGGAGGTTCCCCAGTCAGTCCCCTGTGCATCGGCCAAGGTGGTGTCCATTACATGACAACACAGGGCTCTGCCCAAGAGGCTTCTGGGGGAGGAGAGGGATGAGGGGATGTGCCCCTACTAAGCCTCGTTCTGTCTGCGGTAGGTTCCGCCACCAGGGCAGGATGTTCACCAGAGTCACCACCCAGCGCCTGCTGCTCCTGCTCTCGTCCATGCTCCTGCTCCTCTGGCTGGGCTGCTGGCATGGCGCCGTGCCACCTCCTCCCAGCAGGACCCACATACTCCTCCTCTCCAGCTGGCGCTCGGGCTCCACCTTCGCCGGCCAACTCTTCAGCCAGCACCCCGACGTCTTCTACCTGATGGAGCCAGCCAAGCATGTCTGGTACCACCTGCCTGGAGGCAGCCCGGAGCTGCTGCAGGGGCCCGCTCGGAACCTGCTCCACGCCCTCTTCCGGTGTGAGATGGCCGCGCTGCAGGACTTTGTGCATCAGCCCCACTGGGAGTCCCAGATCTTCATGTGGCCCATGAGTCGGGCCCTCTGCTCCCCGCCCGCCTGCGAGGCCTTCCAGCACGGGGACATCGTGAGGCCGTTGGAGTGCCAGGCCTACTGCGACCCCAGCCCCTTCGGGAAGGCGGCAGAGGCCTGCATCACCTACAGCCATGTGGCGCTGAAGGTCGTCAGGTTCTTCCAGCTGGAGGCGCTTTACCCGCTCTTGGCCGACCCGGCCCTCGACCTCTGCATCATCCACCTGGTGCGGGACCCCCGGGCCGTCTATGCCTCCCGCCAGCATATCTTGCTCTACCTGGACGACCTGCTCATCAGTCGGGCCCACAATGCCACGCCCAACGCCCGCCTGGTCATGCGCAAAGTCTGCCACAGCCAAGCCGGCATGTACCTGGCCGCCTTGCGCCACCCACCTCCTGCCCTGCGTGGACGCTACCTCCTGACACGCTACGAAGACCTGGTCCGGGATCCAGTGGGTCAGGTGGCCGAGTGGTACCACTATACCGGCTTGGCCTCCTCCCCCCAGCTCGAGGCCTGGGTGCACAACATCACCCACTGGTCTGGGCCTCAGGACCCCGAGGTCCTCCCAGTGCGGAGGGATGCCAGCAAGGTCTCACAGGCCTGGAGGCACCAGCTTAGCTTCCACCAGGTGCAGGAAGTGCAGGAGATCTGCAAGCCGGCCATGGAGGTCTTTGGGTACCGGCCGGTCAGCTCGGAGGAGGAGCAGAGGGACCTCACGAAGGACCTGGTGCTTCCGAGAGAAGAGATCGAGGATCAGACAAAGGGCTTGAGTGTCTTCTCTGATCTGCACTGAGGATTGGGCGCAATGGGTTGGACGCTTGGATAAGGAGGAGCTGCCTCCCTGAGCACAGAACCTGCCCCCAGACAGACCCCTGGGACTCCCATGCCTGATCCAGATCTTTGAGGGAAGTGGGGGAAGGGGAGGAGCAGGGGGACGGAGCGTTCAGGGGAGGGGAGATGGGGGAAGACAGCTGCGGGGCCGGGGGTGTGCTAAGGCTGCAGGGGATGGGGGGGAGCCGAGAAGCGCCGCTTTTTGATCTATAAATAGCCGACCAGGGGAAATCCCCCTCGGATGGCTATTTATAGATCGAAAAGCCGGACCTGTCCGGGGAAATCCGGACATATGGTAGCCCTACACAAACCAGGGGGTGAATGGCAGTGGCAAAGCCGCTCAGGGAATCCCCACTGATCAGTCAGGAACTGGAATCCCAGCTACACCCACTTCTGGGGAGCTAGGACTAGAACCCCTGTCCCGCAGCACTAAACACACAGGAACAATTGACCTATAGAAGAGCTGGCCTGCTGCTAGACCCTTTTATCCTCGCTGCAGGGGCAGCTAGTCAATGGGGAGGGGAGGGGAGTGGAGTCTAGTGGGCTGGGAGCCAGGTTCTATCCCAGCTCTGGGGGGTGGGAGTGGGGTCTAATGAGTTAAAGCAGCATATTCGTCCTGGACGCTAAACCTGGTCCTGCCACAGAGTTGCTGTCTGACCTTGGGCGAGTCACTTAACCACTCTGCACCTCAGTTTCCTCCTCTGTCCTAGGCATTGACACACTTCACGGCTTGTGCAGGCTGAGGTCCTTGCTCCCACCAGGGGCTCCCTCCGTTCCCTCCCACAAGCTCCCTGTGTGTACCCCTCTCCTCTCCCCCTGTTTCAGGGACTCCCTGCAACTCACGCCAGGGGCTCTGTGTCTCCCCCGTTACCTCCTCCCCACATTTCAGGCTCCCCCATTCTCCCTGTATCCCTGCACACCCCTGTTCTGCACTGCCTGTCATTCCCCCCGTCCCCATGGCTCTGTGTGCCCAACTTCCTCCACCATTATTATTTCTGTTCTTTCTGTCTGGGAGACAATTCATTCAGGGGGTCCACATGGTCAGGCTGGGAAGCATTAGTGGGTGTCACCAACCAATTCTTTGATCTCTAGACAACTGAAGAGGTGCTTGAAGCTGTGACTGTGCTAAACAGACGTCAGGGACTCCACGTATCCCCCGTTTCTCCCCTTCTGGTTTTCCGAATTTCCCCCAAACGAATCGGCTTCTGCCCAGCGATGCCCAGAACATCCCCTGACGTCTTGGAGTCGACCGGGAGCCGTGTTCAGAAAGGACAGGGACAGGGAAATGCCATCAGGTTGAGCTCAGCCAGCAAACAGAGATTATGAGCCCTACCTGACTCATAGGACATGCGGGGCGGTATCCATTGATTTCGATGGAAGTTAAGAGCCTCAATGCCTTTGAGGAGCCGCGTCCAGGTCTCGGGGTCACCAGGCTAATGGGACGCTGGATTTCCTGACTCTCCGCCCATTGTCGCCTGTGATAAATCTTCCCTTTATGCTCTAATGTCGCCAGGCTGAACTGGCACCACTGACTTTGCCCTGCCATCCTCGCCTCTCCAACTCGAACCCTGAGCTCCTAAGTTAATAAATGTGTCCCCATCTAGACTTCATTCACAGCGCTCTCTGTATTGGCTGCAATGTAGCTAGCTGGGCCAGAAGGCTAAGTAAAGAGCTCGATCAGCCCAGTGGAATAGGAGGGGACTGAGCGGATAGACAAGTCCCAGCATTAGGATCTAGACAGCTATCAGGGTATGTCTACATGCCAAGTAGACACCCACAGCAGCAAGACTCAGAACCCGAGGCCGCACGTTTCCACAGGTATTTTTAGTCTGAGCCCAAGTGCATAGACCTGAGCTCTGAGACGCAGCTGTACCCTTAGATGTTTGACACTTTGGGTCAGATCCTCAAAGACATTTAGGTGCCCAACCCCATGGGAGTCATATCTGTGTAAGACTGACCAGCCACCTGAGATGAAGAAAAGCTGGACTGCCCCGCTATGGTCTCTCTTCTCCTCTTGTATCCTTCTGCTTTGTTAAAGGCAGGAAAGGGAATCACCAGTCACGGCCGTCAACTGATCTCCAACCCTTTCTTCCACCCTACCAGGGATTGTTTGACAAAATAAAAGCGTCTAATCAATATCCTCTCTGAAAAAGGCCCTTGGAAAAGTTTGGGTTACGTTAGTTTCGCCTCACCAGCCAATGGCAGATTCAAACTGATGCATATCTTGAGTTGAAATTATTTTCCCTCCGGTGTGTCTGACTCAATACATTTCCAACCATGGCATGAATTTTCCAGTGCTGTGCCCAGGGGATTGAGGTCTCCGTCCTCAAAACCCCAAACCATGGTTGACTGCTTAGAGTTGTACAACTGGCAGGGTCATGCTAACACCTGTGAGTCTCTGGGTCCCCGTATTCCACTCAAATTAACACAAAAGCTCTCCTGCTGCACGTGGGACTCGCTCGTGTTCGGCTCCCTTTGGACTCACTTTTAGATTCCCTTCTGAATCTCGAACAGGAAACTTTTTAATGGCCCCGCCAGGGGCCTCGTCAGAGGCTGCACCACAAACAGAACGTGTTTTTAATAACCCCCAGAGCCCCAATGGCTGGATCCTCCAGCTGGAAGCAGGAGCGGAGATGCTAACAAGGCCCAGCGCGACGCATCCCAAAGCCTAATGAGGAGCCCTGGGATGTGATGTCTCGGGGCACTGAGTCTAAACGGGACAATTGGCACTGAGCCATGCCCAAACTTTCCTCTGTCACAGGCAGGGGCTGGATCTCTCGGCATCAGATCATAGGCCACCCAGACTGGTGCCCCAGACCCTTCTGCGCCAGGTCATTCTCCAGGTACTCCAGTGCCCCAGACCCTTCTGCGCCAGGTCATTCTCCAGGTACTCCAGTGCCCCAGACCACTTCTGCGCCAGGTCACTCTCCAGTTATTCCAGTACCCCAGACCCTTCTGCGCCAGGCCATTGGCTGGTGACTCCAGTGCCCCAGACCCTTCTGCGCCAGGCCATTGTCCAGTTACTCCAGTACCCCAAATCCTTCTGTGCCAGGTCATTCTCCAGTTACTCCAGTGCCACAGACCCTTCTGTGCCAGGTCATTCTTCAGTTACTCCAGTACCCCAAACCCTTCTGCGCCAGGTTATTCTCCAGTTACTCCAGTGCCACAGACCCTTCTGCGCCAGGTCATTCTCCAGTTACTCCAGTGCCACAGACCCTTCTGCGCCA